AAACAGCATCTGTTCTGTATATAACTAAAGAGGCGCGTATCTACTTCTTTCTGTATGACATGCAATCATCCATGTCAAGGCATGGCACTTATTGATACATGCAATATTATTGCTATCATTTGTTATATTTCATTATGATTTTTGCTATCTTTGTCCCATGTATTAGAGCCAAACTTACATGAGGCAGCTTACAAATTAAAGTACAATACAGTGCAATATTATAAATAATGCTATAGTTTAGAAAACAGTTCATTTAACTGTTTGTATCCTGGCCTTCCTCCAATGAGAACAGGACAGGGTGCATGCAGGTTTTCCTGTTTTATCCTCATAGCAACCCTGTGGTATAGGTTGTGCTGAGGGTGACTAGAGCAAAGCCACAAGTGTGGGAGCTACTAATATTGAACACGGACTAGAAAAAGCGATCCATGGTATTTGAATTATTTCATTTATTTTATTTATTTAGAAAATTTCTATGCCGCCCCATTCGCCAAAGCCTCGGGGTGGCTCACAAATATATCAATTAAAATATTATACAATAAAAATATAAAACAAGTTAACAATATAAAACAAGTCACCCTGGCTGACTTATTTGTGAGTATAAAACTCCCCAAGGGTAGATGTGTTCTTAACTTTCCTTTCCCATTTGGATGGTAGCTTGTCCTTTTTCCATTTGGATGGTAGCTTGTCTCTTATTGCCTTTCCTTTTCCCATGTGAATGGTAGTTTGTCTCTTATTGCCAAATGACAATCAGGATTGCTCTGGGTCCATTTTTATAGCAGAGGAAGGAATTTCTGCAAAATAACTGCCACTTGACTAAACTGAAACAAACCTTTTATGTTGTTGAACAAGTGTGTTCTCTGAGTTCCGTTTCTTTTCTTCTTTTTCTGAGATGTGTACATATACATATGTGCATACATTGAAATGAAGTACTGTGATCAATCAAGCACTAAAGTTTTGTGCAGGGGTGTTTTTGGCAGTCCCTCAGTCTCAGAAGTGGCCATCCTATTGCGGATGCCTGTATAATTTTGTGTGTGGGGGTTGGGGTGGAGCTGTTGTCTCATCTTTAACTGAAGCCATAATGAGCCGAAACCACAACAGAGGGGAAGTCTGACTTCCCATCTTCTGAGAGGGGCTGACGATCTTGCTTCGCACCCACTTACACTCCTACTGCCATGCCCTCTTGTCTCTGAACATGCTGGAGCAAACTCCGTTAGCCCTTCTCCACCCCCACCCCCTCCACCCCAGCCTGAGTCTCTGTTGCCAAGTCATGAGTCAGCCCCTCAACTCCGGGCTGTTTCTCAACTTGATTGCACCAACATCCCTCTGCACTCTGCTGGGTGAGAGACAAGGGGAAAAGACTGCTTGGTATCTGGACTGGACAGCGTGAAGCCCAGGCCCCTGTGGCCACAGGGAGGGCAGACCCACCCACATGGCATCCGCGGTGGACTGTGGGGACCGCATCATGACTCTGCCTAGTCTCCATGTGTCCATCCGAAGGTTTGTTGGGCAGTGAGCTACCCTTGCCTCAACTGGCATCAAGAGTGGCATCGGGCAATCATTCTGTGCTTGCCTTCCCTGCCCTCTGGGTCAGTGGGGAGACTGTTGGGGCATGGGCGGTATGTGTGAGAGAGATGCCGGTCTGAGGGTCAGCCGAGATAAGTTTGTTCCACTGGCTGGTTGTTTGGCCTTGATTGTCACAGATGTGGGCAATGGGCTTGTGGAATAATTTGTCCACAAAAGGGGCCACAGGCGCAGAAGCATAATAGTAAATTTTGCAATGCAGGTGCTTCTCATGGGGGTCCCCCCAGCTGTGCTCCCAAGGAGAGTCCAAACTTAGAGGCAGCTGGGCTGATTCATCATGAACATACCCAGTCCAGCAGTATTTGCTCCCCCAGGAGCAGGTCTCTTATAGGGCAAGACAACAAGGAACAAAACATTTCTAAGTGAATTAATTTCCCCCCAACTCTGGAGAGGATTGCAGCTAATCCCAGAGGGAACAGGGAATTTTTAGGGTGTTGGCAGGTGGTGTCAGCATCCCTGCTGATCAAAAATTATTGGAGCTTCATCCCTGTGAGCCCTGGGTCGACTGCATTACTGTTGAAGGACTTTGAAAAGCTAGATAAACAGGACTTGGTGGGTCTGAATTGATGAGAGATTGCCATTATCTAGTATTGAAAGGCACTGCAAGCTGGGTTGGACAGGCATTAGTAAATCAGCATGGCATAAGGTCAGGTTGAAGGACAGCACTGGACAGCACTTGTGCTGCAGCCTAGGGTGGCACTTTTACTTTTTGAAATCAGCTAAGGAGGCCAGTTATTTTGTTTTGCCATGCTCATTCCAGAACAACTTTCAGATTGCACTGATTTCTTCACTGGGTTGTTTGTGTCTCTTCAGAGTTGTTTTCTAGTGTAAACATCTTTATGCTATAGTCCTCTGGATGCTTAACCCTCATGGGACACAATGCAACTTACTTCTGAGTAAACATAGGATTGCACTGTTGATCACTTGAACTCCAGGAGTGCTTCCAAACCCTGGAGCTTCACAGGGGTCCAAATGATCTTACAGTTCATGTGTAAATCTCAAGTGCTTCTTTAATCTTTTTTCTTTCCATGAAAGGAAAAAGCTGTACAATGACTTTTGGCTGATGGTGTTAGAAACTGCCCTTCTGGAAACACAGGCTATGCAATCTGAGAAAAGAAGACTATAGTTGTGGTGCTATATAGGGAACAGCATCACATTGACCAGCAGAGGGAGTTACAGGAATAATTAAGAGGTTGCGGGGAGGTGCTGTGGAGGCAGCATTTATGCTCTGTACAACCCTTCCAGTTCTTCATCAGAGAAACCCAAGTTCTCTGCTTAAAAAACTTAACATTCTGTGCCTAAAATAAATAATGCAGGTCAATAAAATTGGTGCAGTTTTTCATAACTTGCATAAATACACATAACTTCTTGTTTTTATGCCAAGCCCAGCACTTGAGCTTTAGCAGAATTTTAGAGTCAAGGCAAGACATTGTGTGTTGAAGGAAGAACAATCACAAAAGAAGGAAAATTGAGCCTGACATAGCTGTGCAGCGCTCGGAAGCTGTTAGATGTCTGATTTGGAAACAATTGCCTACATGCTTTGAAAAGTTTAGCTGCAACAAGGACCAGTGGCTTGCTTAACAAACAAGTAAGCAAAAAACGGAAGGAAGGAGAGAGTCCCAAGATCATAAAAACTAGAGTGTCATTGTAGCATAAGCTCTGTAGTTTACTTCATTAGATTCACAGAAGTGTCAAGGATGTAAAGGAGGAAATTCTTTCCTTCCTTCCTTCCTTCCTTCCTTTTTTCCTTTCTTCTTTCCTTTTTTCCTTCTTTCTTTTGTCTAGTATCAAGCTCTGTGCAGGCTTGGCTTACAGAGAATTGTTCTATAGGCTGTCTTGCCAGTGAAAGTTATTCAGAGATTTAAAGATAAGCAGAATTAAAAAAAAAAACAGTTTGTTTAATGACAGTACAGCTCAGTCCAGGTAACCACAGCCAAATGAAATCAGTCTAACAACCCTCATGGTCAAATGCTATGCATAAATCCTATCTTGAGTATACATAAGGCTTACAGCCTTAATCAGGTGGCAGAGGGCAGCCAATACAGGCATTCTGTGGGCTTCCATGGTGAGGCAGCTCTTGACTGGGCATCACAATGGAAAAAGGCTTGCGTTAGACCTTTGTGCTTAGGGTGCAAGTACCCGCAGGACCGCCTTCTCCCGTACAAACTTGCCCATCCCTTAAGATCAGGCCAGGAGACCCTTCTGTAAGTGCTTTCTCTCAAAGAGGTGCAGGGGATGGCAAATAGATGAAGGGCCTTCTCTAAGGGCTAGCCTCTGAAATAGCCTCCCCTGGGATGTTCACCCAGCACCATCTCTATTACAGTTTCAGTGCCAGGCAAAAACATTTCTTTTTAATATCTTTTTAGCAACTGATCCTGCCTTGCCCTGCACTGCTGCTTTGTCTGGTTGTTATTGTTAGGGTTTAAATTTTGATACTGAAGTTTTCAGCCTTTTAATGTGTTTTTATCTTTATCTTTATTGTAAGCCACCTTGAGACTATGGTAGTAGGCAGCATATAAATGAAAGTATGTATAATAAATAAATAAGAGGGGACACTCAGCAGAGCGGTTGGGCACCATCAGGATTAGATAGTTCCTCAGTGTTCTTCTTTGTGTTCTCTGTGCTATCAGAGATGGGGGCTGTGCCTTCATAGAGCCCCCATTGGGAACCGTCTGCAGCTGAGGATTTGTTGATGGGAGCCCTCTTCTTACTCCCTCAGTTCCTTCAGACTGCCCACTGTAGCCTCAGAACTAGGAGTACTCTTCAGTGCCCAGTCTGGAATTGAAAGTGACACTAATGTAGGGTCAGCAGGTGGGTGGTGAGAATGCACAGATGACCACTTGAAGAACTGCAATTACAGCGAGCAACCTGTCTTTACAAGTTCACTCCCAAGCAGCTCCAGAGCAGGGAAAGATCCCTCTTTGACGCCTGAAAGGCAGCTGCTGGTCAGCATAGACCAGAGATAGACAGAACGTAGATCTGCAGGTGTCCGGAGTTCAACTTCCAGCTTTCCTGACCATTGACAGTGTGGGCAGGGCCTTCTGGGGGTTGAAGTCCAAAACATCTGGAGACTTCACTTTTGCCATCTGCTGGTATGAATGGTGCTGAGCTAGATGAACCAATGGTCTGATGCTTCGTCTGTTCCCACTATGGCGGAAACCTTTGTTGGATTTCTGAGGGAGACTGAATGTATTCTTTGCCAGTCGAAAACCTTTGTTGGATTTCTGAGGGAGACTGACTGTATTCTTTGCCAGTCAAAAACCTTTGTTGGATTTCTGAGGGAGACTGACTGTATTCTTTGCCAGTCGAAAACCTTTGTTGGATTTCTGAGGGAGACTGACTCTGTTCTTTGCCAGTCATGCACACAACTTCATCTTCTTCCTTACCATTGTTTGGAATTGTTTTTCCTTCTTGTGCAGCTTCGAGGTGGAAAATGGCCCATCTCCTGGGCGCAGCCCACTGGATTCCCAAGCTAGTCCTGGCCTGGTGCTTCATCCCAGCTTCCCACAGAGCCAGAGGCGTGAGTCCTTCCTGTACCGTTCAGACAGTGACTATGACATGTCGCCGAAGACCATGTCACGCAACTCTTCTGTTGCCAGTGAAGCGTAAGTTCCTTGCTTTTCTCTAAGGAGTTATATGCATACCCACAAACTACACACAAAGGGGCACTGGCTGCTGTACAGATTCCCCCACTTATCTAAAGACACAGATTACTAGATCCTGAAACCTTCGGGCAGGTGAACACCTTGGGTAACAAGCAAGCTGAGGGCAGGTTGTCCACTAGCACAAGAGGGAAGCCCTGATGTCCTTTCTCAGTAACCAATACCTGAACTAAAGAAAGGTAGTAGATCTGGTGGTATGACTATCAGGTTGTGTCACAATATTGACCCCAGGCCAGGGCGTTAGCAACTGTCCTTGAACATCCCAACTGACACTGCCTTTGGTTTCCTCCTTCGGACAGCAGTTCAGAGCGGTGCAAGGAGGCTTGTGTTTAATCTACAGAGTTCCCAGGTGGGACACCATTAAGCTGCTTTTTATGAGCTGCCTTCCCATATAATAACTAGAGTTGCGGGTGCTGCTGAAGTCTCAGGTTCTGTGAAGGAACTCTGTCTTTCCCAAGGAAAGTTAGGATAGGCAGAATGGGAAAGACACAGCTGCCAAAATTTAAACTAACCTGTTGAGTCAAAGGTTGGTAGGGTGATGATAATCTTTAAAATATAGTCCAGGATCTTATGAATAGGCCTTTTGATCTGTCTTCATTAAAAGTAAATGGTTTGCTGCCTAAAACAGTTGATTCCCATGCTCAGCAAAGTAATCTGTCTGGCTGAAAACATTGCTGAATTTATTTATTTATTTATTTATTTAAAATATTTATACCCCGCCCTATACACAAAAGCGTCTTGCATTATTCAAACCCTTCTCCCCCAGAAGTCTTGCATTTCAGAGTTTAGGCCACACAGTCTTGGGGCTACCATCTTGTTTTGCTCTGTGTTCTCTTCCTCCCTTCCTGCAATTAATATGTACCTGGCTGTTTTTGTGCTTCACAGACATGCTGAAGACCTGATAGTGACACCATTTGCCCAGGTATGTCCCGGGTTCCTTGTGCATGTTGTGGGAGGAAAGTCTGCTTCTCACAGTTATGGGTTCTTTTGTGGGGAAATGGCCCAAAGTCATCCTCACAACAGTATCTTCATGAGGCTGACACTCCCCAAAGTCACAAAGTACTTTCAGGTTTTGAAGTTTTGGATGTTAAGCCACAAACAAAACAGGGAGATTGCCAACAATAACATTTTCTCTTATACCTGCCCACTTTTTATCTTTGCTTACCTCCAGTGTGAAAAAGAATTCTGGTGAACTGCATAACTCTGCAGGTTGGGGCTGCACCTGGGGCTAGATTATTGTCCTTAAGTTTAAGAACTGATCATCAGTGCTCGTATCTCATTGGGTTTTTTGTACACCTTCCACACACTCCTTGGCTGTGACAGAAGGGGCTGCTTTGCCTAAGGACCAAGGTATCAGTCGAACCCATGTCTGAGCATGGTTACAGCCTTTCAAACAGGAGAGGCAACCTCATGCCCTCTGAATTGTTTTGGATCACAACTCCCAGAATCCCTGACTCTTGGCCATGGTGTCTGGGGCTTATGGGAACTGTAGCCCAAAACATCTAAAGAGCTTCTAAATGTCTACCCTCATTTTGAAAAATGGCAGCATAGCCCTTCCTATCAGACCATCTGCCTCAAAGATGCAAGGAAGCACTGGACTAACAAGGCCTTGACTGCAGACTGGATGTCTTGCTTCATTCTTTAAGGTCATTTTGTGCTCTTATTAGGAGACACTGTAGAAATCCAGCACTTAAGTGCTACTGTAGTTTGGCAGCAACATGTCTGTTCCCCTTCCCCACAAACAAACTCAAAGAGAAAGACTCTGTGTAGGGATGGGAGAAGTGTATTTACTGACTTGTTAAAATTTTAAAACATCTTCCAAATGGTCTTAAGCCCAAATAGTCTTAAGTCCATATTATGGATTGGACATATTCCATTGCTACTGTTGCCATACTGCTGATAGAGGCTGAGGCTGAAAGGTAGATGATGTTTTACAACAGCCTTGCATTGTAGCTTAGTGCTATGTGTTCTAACCACATGTATACAAACGCCTATGGTTTTACCACTTTAACAGAGATCAAAAGAATGCCACATTTTCTTTTGTCACTTCTAGTGCAAATGCTTTTGAAGTAATCTCTTTGTCACACTTTTCCTTACTGGGAGACAAGAAATGAAAATGTCCAGTCTCAGTGCCCCGCATGACACATTGGCAGCATACTCCTTTCCCTTTGGGTCTAGAAAGAACTTTTCTCTCTCAGCATATATTTCCAAGCTGTACTTTCTGGCCCTTAACATAATAAGAATCAATCTCACTTGTATACATTGTTCATAGGGCCTCTTAACGACTACAGGGAGCTAGTTTGTGGGCCTAACCATCTGTCCATTCCTTTCCTGTAGGTTCTGGCAAGTTTGAGGAGTGTACGTAATAATTTCTCCATTCTGGCAAATGTGCCCACGCCAACATCCAATAAGTAAGTATTCGCCTGTGCTGGAAGTTGCAAAAGACACGAAGTGTGATTCCACTCTGTGGTCTGTTGGCCTGTGAAGTGGCTCTGCCATCTCTTTAAACCTGTTGGGTAAATAGACTTTTTGTGGAGGGTGGGGGCAGGGAGAAGGAGATGCCCTCGTTCTGGGCATGGCAGACTACACGCTCCGCTTGTACATGCAGCTGGACCTGTTGCTGTCACCGTCACCATCACCCTCTTCTGTTAGGCAAGAGAGGACTTGCAGGCTGCACACACCTGGCTCAGTGCAGGCGACTGAAGGGAGGAGTGCCATCAGACTGGTGCTTCATGCACTCCTGGTAAATGGAATGTCCAGGTTCTGAAGACCAGTTTCTGGGGGACAAATGGCAGGAGGTGCTTGTGGCCTTTTCAGAAACATCTGGCCATTTGCACTGGAGCATCAATGTGGAGGAGACAGAAACCACTTTCTGGCTGGCCCAGTTCTATGCTAGATCACCTTCCTTCCATGCTCAGCAATTTCATTTATTTTGCAGTAAATGCCTTCACAGCCAGGACCTCAAGTCTTTTAGGTGAGGGCAAGTGGTGGCCCTCTAGATGCTCTTGGACTGCAACTCCCATCATCCCCAGCCAGCATGGCCAATAGCAAGGTTTATGAGAGAACCAGTAGCAGCTGTCCGAGTCAGGGCAAACAGGCTTAAGTGGAGCACCGAAGAGATGGAGATGCGTGCCCTGTTGCGGAACTGCAGCATTCTTGGGTGGGGGTGGTATTCTGCATAATACAAAAGCTGTGTGCTCCCCAGTCAGACTTCCCCAGCTACATGCTATTCAGATGTATGGGACTACAGCTTCCATCATGGAAGAAGGGGTTTAATAGCTCTCATTCCATTGCCAGCTAGAGCCTGTGCACAGCACGCTGGGAAAAGAACCCAGTGATTTGGCTACACCTCTGGTCATGCTTCCTGTCTTTCCTCCCCATCCTCGGTCTCCTTCACCACCACCGTTGCCTCCCTGGAACTGTGGTGCTGATCTCATTCATCCCAGAGGCAGAGTCCAGAGCTTCAAGGTGCCATCCAAGAAAGGAAGTCAGCCTCACACAAAGATTCGCCATGCCGTGGCCTTACAGGGCAGTAGCCTAGGGATGGAGAACCTCCAGATGGAGTTGGACTCCAGCTCCTATCAGGCCCAACCATCATGACTAGTGGTCCAGGGAGAATGGCGCTGTAGTCCAGCAACATCTGAGGACCCAAAGACCCTTGCATTAGTCCCTCATAAGACCACAATTCTGTGGCAGCTTGGAACTGCTTTTATATTTTTAGACTGGATATGCCTTTGTTGACCAAATGGTCCATGTCCTGGTGTGCCTATGCCCAAAATACACAAGGGAGAAAGGATTTCTTTTAAAAGATTTATTCTCAAGAATAACCCATGAATCATTCCAGATGGCACACCAGCGCAGTCCTCAGTTGGCCCTTTTATACATAGATCATTAAAGGTTTACACATAAGACAGTTAGCTCTTTCTAGTAGGTTACAGAAGTAAAAAGTTACAATGGCATGCTCTTTCCCACCTGCATACCAAAGCATAAAGAAGATGTTCTGAAGGAGGGGGTACTGTTCCAGAGAAGAGGAGGAGGATGGGGGTGGGTTGGTGTGAATTGCCCTTTGCTTGAGCTGCTGTCTGTCAAAAATCAACTGGCCCTTTCTGGAATGCTACCTGGTTTCTAGAAAAGAGGGCTTTTCTTTGGCCCAGGTATGTTAATGTTTGCATGTTATACCTGTGAAAGTTACATATACCTGTTCATTTATAGATCACCTTGTTACTCTCCTTCTCTTCACTGCACCCTGTCAAACTGTTCTCTGTGAGGGAATAATGCCTTCCTCTTTTTAACTTTATT